TATAAATATAAAATTTCAAAATATGATGTAATTCAACCCAGTCATAAAATTATATTTGGCATTGTTGATTTAAAAAATTATTTTAAAGAACCACTAAATTTTCATAGTGATTCAGTGATTTTCATAGACATTCACTAAAAAAGTTTATTCCTGAATTTGAGAAATAATTTATGTTTTAAACATCTGAACTATGGAACGTGCAAGCACACCCACAAACACACACACACAAAATAATTAAGTCAACAGTAAAAGCGACAAAGAATATGAAGAGTGGAAACTACAAAGGAACAACATTTATAAGGGTTGGCAATTAATTGTACATCAGGAAACCAAAAACATCCTACACTTTCTCTAAAATTCTGTGACTAACTTCTCAAGTGTTTTTGTTTTTGTCACTGAATCACTCTATTTCCTATCAGATAAGGTCACTTAGTCATTTCCAAGGGGATGATGAAAATATAATACACTAGTTGAGTACTTAAAGAAGATTGGTCTTAAATATTGGAAATGAAATTGAATACATTTCAGGATTTAAAGAAAGGTTTTTTCCTGTTATAACCTTTCCCAAATTAGACACTTGTTCTGTTGCCTTTTCGTCAATCTGTCACTTTTTTTCTTAATCCACTTATCAAAAAATACATTCATATTTTCTGTTACTCTGTACATGCTTTTTCATGTTTTCTCCAATACTTTTGTTCTTAGCATCTGTATCCATTAGTGAATATCTTCAAGATGATTTCCTCCATTAAGAATTCATCTGATTAAGTGTAATATTTTCATGTACATTAACTCATTTCATTACCAGAATAAAGCAGGAGGGGGAGGAGTATTGGCACAGTAAGCCAAATCATTGAATGGAACACCAGAATCCCATATTTGAGCGCCGGAGATAAAAGCATACATTTCCAATCTAGGTTCCTACTAATTCTCTTGGGAGGCAATAGTAGTGGAATCCATGCCACTCATGCGAGGGATCCAGATTGGATTCCTAACTCTAGCTTTAGCTTGACCCATTCAAACTTGCTGCAGGTGTTCCAGAAATGAACCAGTGTGGCTTGTGATGGCATCATGAGGTAGAGCCACCACTTGCAACACTAGTATCCCACATGGGTGCTAGTTAGTGTCCCAGATGCTCTACTTAATCCAACTCCATGCCAATCTCTTAGGAAAATCAGCAGAAGATGGTCCAATTGTTTGGGTTCTAGTCTCCCATGGAATTTTCAAAAAAATATCCTGCTTCTTGGTTTTTGTCTGATCCACCCCTGACTATTACAGTCATCTACCAGATGAAAGGTTCATCCTATCTCTCTCTCTCTCTTTCACTCCAACTTTCAAATAAATGAATTAATTAAAAAAGTAATCCAAAAGAAATGAACCAGTGGATGGAAGATTGTTCCCTTTATTTGCTTTGCTTTCCAAAAAAATTAAAAAATGTATAAGTATTTAAAAACAAAATAGAAGGACACACACACACACACACACGCATATTCAGTCCCTATAAGAAAATAAGGAGAGCCCATAAAAGTTAAGTGGCTTTCCCAAGATCATAGTTAGACATGCTACTGAACCAATCACATTGAACATAATTTCTTCACAGCATCTCAGTATTTCAGCTATGCTTGCTGACACAGTGAGTCCTTGTACATCACTCCTTATTCACAGGCATTCTACACTGCACATATACTGCTATGTCATGTTTATGAAATTTCATACAAATTCTTCCTAACACAGTACTAGTTTCAAGTATTTTCTGTCTCCAAAGTCATTGGGGTGATTGATTAATGGTATTTAAAACAAGTGGGACACAGGAGGTGACAGAACGGGTTTTTCATACATCTGCAAGCAGAAATTCTGTACATTGAAAGTGGCTTTTTCTTTTTATACACAACAATGAATTTATGAGTTTTCTGAGTATTTTGCCTTATTACCTCACTCATTAACAAGGAGTTGTTGCCCAGCAGTTAAGTCTCCAAAGTCTCCCTAATAGGCCCATTCCTAGCCCCTGATCTTGTATGTGCTGGCAGGCGCTTCAACTCAGCCTGGCATAGCCCATACCACATCATCCGGGTTCTCACACATGTCAGTGAGTGCTGCGGTCTGTCCCAGTCTGGACTACCTTCAGACCCAGTCCACATACATGTTAATGAATACCGCAGCCTTGTCCAGCCTGTCCCCAGCCCTGGCTTTTGTGCCCACAGCAGTAGCTGCAGCTAACAGCGTAGTTCCCCAAATTCCCCTTCTAACCCACACCCAGCCTCAGATTCCATGTGTGCCAGAGGGTTCTGCAGCCCAACTAGTCTGGCATGGTGTGCCCCATTCATGGCCTTTGCATGCACTGATGCATGCTGTAGCTTGGCCTTGCATATTCCTAGCCTCAGTCCCATGAGTGTCTCTAAGTTCCCACAGTCTTGCCTGGCTCAGCCAGCCAACAACCCCAGCTCTCACACAGTGCTGCAGTCTCACAGGGGCAAGCCTATAAATTTCCTACTTAATCTGCCCCCAGTCCTGATTTCTCACATGCCAGTGGGTATTGCAGCCCAGTCCTCTGCTCCAACACTTGTTGGCAGATACTACAAGCTAGCCCTGCCAGACCTGTTCCCCAGCACCAGCAATTGTGTGTGCCTATGGGGAGTGGGCAATGCAACCTAGCCCAGTCCAGATCTCCCAGGTTGATGGGTGCCTTGACCTGACCCAGACATGTCTTCCAATTTCCCCCTCTAACAACCCCATCTCAACTTCCTTCATTACATGCGAGTATAATGGCTTGGTCCCTGGAAGTCTTTCCACATCCGTCAAACGTGGACTCCATTCCAAGATATCTCCAGACCCCTATCTGGAGCATAAACCCAACAGGTTCCACGGCAGTAGTAGTGGTGACATGGCCTAGCTCTGTGCCTTCCTACCCTCATTTGGGTTCTGTGGCGAATTGTACAAATAAACAAATATAAGTTGTAAGCTGTATATTATTCTAAATAATTTGAAAAAGTATGTTTTTTATCACACCTCAGATGTAAATATCCTATTGTCCAGCATATCAATGCTGTAATGCTATCCAGCTATTACTCACTTAGTAACTACAGTTTAACAGATTTACTGTCATAAAATTGCAGTGTTGTATTTATCCTATTTTTAGTTATTAATGATCCTGAAGCACATGTTTATTATAGCATACTATTACAACCGTTCTCTTTCATTATTGTTGTTGTTAATATATTATTGTGCCTTATTCATAAATCAAATTTTATCATAATTTTGCATTTAAAAGGAAACAAGTGTACATAGAGTTCAATGGTCTTTGGTATTTTATGATTCCAGTACTCACTGGAGGTTTGGGATATATCCTCTGGAAATTAAAGGGGATGAATGTAATTACAACAGAATAAATATTAGTTTCTAAGTGTGCAGGTCTGCTAGGACTCTGGTATGGAAGATCATACAAGTCAGAGAAATAAGTTTAACACTTAATAGTTAGTCTAGGAGCATGCAGAACTAATGAAATGGAACTTTCTTCCAACACTTGTATTATTGAAGAAATAACCAAAATGTTTCCTTATTGGGAAGACATCATCATTTTTAATGTATCTGGAAGCAGAATTTAGGGTTTGTCATAAAGTCAGTAATGCAGTACAATGGAGTGGCACAACTGAATTATTTCCTTAAAACAGAACAATAACGCTTTTAAGAATAAAAAGAACACAAGTAAAGAAAGCTTACCTAAACAGTACAGAGCAAAAAAAAAAAAAAAAAAAAAAAACCAAAAAACTAGCCATACAATTATACAATTTCTTAAATGCACAAATCAAGTCAAATTAAAATTTATTTGGGGTGGGAGTGGCATTATGGTATAATGGATAAAGCTACCACCTGGTGATTCTCACATCTGATATGGCTGCCAGTCTGTTAGAACTGCTGCTTAACTTTCAACTCACTTTCCTGCTAGTGGCCTGGAGAAAGTATTAAAACAGGGCCAGACCACTGGGGCCCTGCCACCCATGTGGGAGACCCAGACAAAGCTCCTGCATTCTGGCTTCATCCTGGTCCATTCTTTGCTACTACCTAGGAGTGAACCAGAACGTGAAATCTTTCTGTCTAATTCAGACTTTCAAATACAAAAATCTAAATAAAATAAACGTTACACCTGATGTCAAAAATCACAAGAAAAAAATCAAGCAATAAAAGGTGATAATAACTTTAATTACATATATGACAAGACTCATCCTAATTAGGGTAAAAGAGATACAACAACCTGAGTGAAACACATGAACAGCCACTTCACAAAGACACCAAACATGTAACAAATACAGCTATACAAAAAGATGGTGAACTTTGGAAAAGTCATCAGGGAGACGCAAAAAAGAGGGAAGATATAACACATGTGTACACAGAAGGAGCTACAACGAAAGAGGTGTGGAAATGCTAAATGTTGACAAGGATTCAAAGCAACCTACATGTTTAGGAAGATTTCTTGATTACATTTCTGAGCCAAACATCACTATATTCTGATCCACTATTTCTGGCCCTAGGTAAACACCAGTGCACATGCCCACAAATGGTATGTTTGGAATGTTCGGGAATTCATGGTGTCCTCAAAGTGGAAATAGCCACAAACGGCCACGTCTGGTAGAACAGATGAGTAAATTACCGTGTATTCAGACAGTGAACTATCCCGTCCACTACACACACTGCCTCTGAGCCCAAGCTCACCTTCCCACACTCGCAGTCTCCATCCTTTTGCCCGGAGGCTCATCCGCACGCGCGTGCCCACACAAGGAAGACAGCGAATCATTGGCTGCGTGCTTCCGGAAGCCTCGGCTTCGCACCGCCCCTTCCGGCTCCAGGGCCTCCCTCCCGCCTTCCCGCCATGGTGCTTTCCCACCATTGCAGCTCGCAGCCCTAGGCCTGTTCAGTGACTGCGAATCCCACAACTCAGGAACCCCCTGGGACAGACGCAGAGGGACCCTGGAGGGAGGCGTTCCTGGTCAGGCGGCTCGCTCTCCCTCACAGCCGCCGCCATGAACATCCGCAATGCCCGACCCGACGACCTGATGAACATGCAGCACTGCAACCTGTTGTGCCTGCCTGAGAACTACCAGATGAAGTACTACCTCTACCACGGCCTGTCCTGGCCCCAGCTCTCCTACATCGCCGAGGACGAGGACGGCAAGATCGTGGGCTACGTGCTGGCCAAGATGGAGGAGGACCCGGATGACGTGCCGCACGGGCACATCACCTCGCTGGCCGTCAAGCGCTCGCACCGGCGCCTCGGCCTGGCGCAGAAGCTCATGAACCAGGCCTCCCGGGCCATGGTCGAGAGCTTCGGGGCCAGGTACGTGTCCCTGCACGTCAGGAAGAGCAACCGCGCCGCCCTGCACCTCTACGCCGACACCCTGGGCTTCCAGGTCAGCGAGGTGGAGCCCAAGTACTACGCCGATGGGGAAGACGCCTACGCCATGAAGCGGGACCTTTCACACATGGCCCACGGACTGAAATCGCGGCATCCCGAGCCCAGCGAGCAGGGCGGGTGTTGGGGGATGAGCTCCCCGTCGTGTCCTAGCTCCCAGGAGGCCTGCCTGCCGGTGAGCATGGCCGTGGCGGCTGCTGCTGCGGATGCCAGTGGCAGCCAGGAGCCCAGCCACAACAGTGCAGAAGACTCTGGGTTCACCTCCTAGAGCCTGCTTGAGGTATTTTTTTCTCATCTCTGATTGTCTCCCCACCCCCATCCTCACACACAACCTTAGCCTGCCCAGTCCCTAACCTGGCCTGCCCCATTCTAGCCCTGCAGGGTTTCACACTTGAAGAATGACCTTGGTGATAAGAGTGAAGAGTACAGGATGGGTGTGGGGGAAGATTGTTCACTGTTGGAAGTTAATAGGGCATCAACTCATGGTGAAATCCACTGGATTTGGCATAAGAAGCAAGCATTTGCTTTACTTTGCTGGTGTGAGTTGCATTTCATGGTAGTCATGTAATTGAAATACATGTTTTTAAAAAACAGGAAGTTTACAAGTGAGAAACGATGGTCAATTTGGAAAAATCACCATTTTGCAACGCTTGGTGAAATAGTCATACTTAAAACCCACAAACCCTCACCTGAGCATCTTGACAGGAGCTGGTCTGTAGTCTTGCATCAGTCGTCCAGTAGCCAAGTTCTCCATGTTCTCAACAAGGCTTCATTACAGTGCCATTGCAAGCGTACATCGTGGATGACTTTCCTAGTTGATTTTCATCACAATCATCAGTGATTCCTTGGAACGTAGTAAGTGGTTCTTTCCGCCATCATTCTGCTTCATTCTCTGTGAATATAATCCTCAGTGCCAGAAGGAACAAGCCATTAGCTTTAGTTGCATCGGCAAAGCAGCAGATAGGAGGCCCCTGAGGCAGCACACTGCTGGGACAGGATATGGTAGAGAAGCCTGGGGGCTGTGAGAGGACACTGCTCAGTCCAGTTTAATAACTGGGCTTCAAATTGCTTTGTTCCAAATCCAAGGTCATAGTTCTATCCTAAATTTTATTCAATGGATTGCAAGTGAACAACCCATTTTTAATGACTGCCTGCCACTTTCTAGAATCGCGTCCTCTACTGGTCGCCGTGCAGTCAGCTAGCAAGTAAGGAAAAACAACACACACAGCGGTTCATACAGGTTTGAAAGTCAGTCTCATTTCCCAGTGCAGGGGAGGCCAGGCAACAGAATTTAGTTTTGTGCTCAGGAGAAGGAAGATGTGCTAATAGCTCTTGGCTCTGCCGTCATAGTTCCTGCCATAATGGGAAGCATCCCACTAGTGCTGCTGACTGTGGAAGTTCTGCCTCCATCCTCAGGACGGAGCACAGGCTTGCTCTGCAGCATCCAAGAATGCTGCATGGCTGGCTCAGGTGTCTGCGTAAACACAAGCCACAGATTTCTTCTGCTCCTGTGCAGACCTGGGAATAGGGGTTGAAAATTCCGCCTGCCTTGCTGTTATTATCCCTCTTGGAAAGGCCTTAAGCAAAAATTATGCTTCTAATCTTCGAGACTGAAATCTCCAAATGTGTCTAAATTTTTACCTTCATCTCATTTGATAGTTACTCTTTAGCCCATAGGCCCACCTGCCTGAAGATGGGAAAATAGGCTGTGGTAGAGAAAGAAAGAATGAAAAAAAAAAAATCAAAAGGTGCTTGCTGCTGTGGAGGTGGAGTTCAAATACTTTCCAAAAAGTCCTGGAAGAAATTTCCTTTTTTTCTCATCTCCACTGGCGAACCAAGGCAGTTGATACAACTGGTGAAAAAGAATCAGGTGCCTTCATGAAAAATGATAATGAACATTTCCAGGAACGCTATGACAACTTACAGTATAGCAGGTACACATTTAAGAATTCTCAGTTAATTGTCCCTGTGAGGGAGGGGCTGCTAGTCCACGTCACAGACAGGACTGAATGTCAAACAGTGAACAGAATTCAAACTCACACAGTCAGACTCCATGATTCTGAGCATTAATGCAAGGCAATCTATGTAAATTGCTGAGCACAGCTTCTCACATACTTCAACATTCTGTAGATTGCAGCCCTGAATATATTCTGTGGTAACTCTTCAGTTTTTTCTTCACAGTAATCAGACGATAGAATGTCGTACATGAGCAACAGTTTGCACTCTTGGAAGGGAGATGCATCTTAATGATTAAAATAGATTTCCCTGACAAGCCAAATGTCAAAGCATCCAGCTGAATCAACGCTCACCAGAGGCAGAGTTTCTAGGGAACCATGGCAATGAAGACAGGTCAGTTCAAAACATGCTGGTTGAGGCCGGAATGCTATCAAACTGCTGCTCATCTCTTGGCCGAAAAAAAAAGTGTGCTGGCTGCATGATTCAGAACAGAAAAGGGAAAGTGCAAAAATCTCTTCATTTTCAGTTGAGCTGGCAATATTGAAGGGTTTCTTCAGTGACGCTCCATTCCTGGTTTATTCTTCCTGTCGCTAGGCTGTCATTCTCCCAACAAGTTGTTAACTGTTCACATGAGCATTCACTGAAATAGACTGTTCTTAATTTTACCAGACAACTAATTATAACTGAAATGATAGAATGAAATATGGAAGAAAGTTAGAGACTGACAGGTCTGGTAAATTTCTAGTATAACCTTACCCCAGATATGCCAGAAACCATAGATTTCAAATGCATTTTTACTCCATGAAGATAAGAGGGGGGTGGGAAGCGATAAAGTGTTGTTTTAACATATCAGACATCATTGTTGAATTATTTACAATCACTACCAGTTTCACCTTTCAGTCAGAAAATGGTATACATTTAGGATGACTGAAATATAATTTTGTCAGAGATAACTGACTGACAAAGGAAGACATTTTTCCTGACTTCTGTACTTCCTCTGTTCTCGAGAATCTAACATCTAATGAATTTTTTGTTGGATGAGGTGAAGAAGTTAAGATATTACAGATGTTCTGGGAATGGACAGTGGTCCAAACGGCCAGAGCAAAAGCCTTCCAGAAAATACTCCAGTGCCATTGCTGTAGTTTAATGTCTTCAGAGAAAAATAAGATTTTTTTAAGTGAAGCAATACAGTTCTACTTTATGTTTACAGAAACATGTTAACGATCAATATATAACACCTTTAAAAATCCGTAAATGTCAAAAGTTGTACACAGTAGCCTAGGAAGTTAGGTCTGCGATGTTCATAGTCTGAAGGAAATCTTTCCACAGTGACTATACCCTTAAACCATCCTCGACTGGTTGCTATGATGCTATTTCACTTTTAAAGTTTAATTTCTTAAGATTATCAGATGGTATTTACTAACAAAAACAGCTGAAACAGCTCTGGATTGTTTAGTTTTTACACCCCTTCTCTTGCCAGTCAGGGTTTACAGTGTTCATAGGAAATTGGAAAAGGCAATGATGATTGTCTTTTTGACCTAGTCATCTGCACATTACTTATGTCCTTCATTAGCAAATACACTTGAAAAAAAAAAAAAGACCCGCGGAATACTGCCTCCTGCAGCTTGGTTCATCTGTATTTTGAAAATGTACTTTTCTAAAATGATGATTTTATATTAAAAAAATGCTTTTTAACTGTGCATAACAGTCATTCTCAGCATTGTTAAGCCCGGAACTACATGCGTGTCTCTCATGTGTGTGGCCATCCCAGGTAGCCAGAAGACAGGTCAAAAGGCAGAAGCTGGGTCAGAACACAGAGGTGGGTATACCAGTTACCCTGATGGAAGAAGCAGGAACACTGAGCAGCAGCTTAATGCGCTGCGTCACAGGCCCCATCCCTTCAGTACCCCTTCTTCCACTTCAGTAGTCCAGCCATATATTACACAAACATCCCAACTTAGGAGGCTATGATGTGCATCTCATTTGTCATTGTATAATGTGTTCATGCATAGTAAGTACTCAGATGTTTAGTGAATGAACAAGCCTCTCAAATTATTCAGTTATTTTCAAAAAGGGAGAAAATCATTGCTAGTTCTCAAGATAATTAAGATTCTTTAAGACAGAAGAGACAAAATGGGCACTTCTTTATTCACAGAAAGAAAATATGATGTATACAACTGGACCTATTATATCAAACTTATCAAGAATTAAAGAGAACTTTCATTTCTGTAGCACTGGAATGAGTGTCTTTTTCAGTGGAATTAGACAGGCAAGAGTCTCTCAATCTCTTTACATTTAAAATGAGTTCTCTTGGATAAGTCTCCATCCTTATTTTTCCTCTCCTTTCCATCAGCAGCAGTGGCCCATGGGTACCAGGAAAGGTACATATGTCATCATGGCTGTGCATCTCCGTGGAGATAAACCAGGTCTAGACTTGTTATTGGTCTGCTGGCTGAAGTCTGTCATAGGTTAAGCCAGTGTTCTTTCCAAGCTTCTTTTATTTCTTTTCTTTCCTATAGCCCTCCCTTGCTCACTTATTTTCTTCTTGCTTCTCAACAGATTTGCAGGCCATCATGTCTTAACCACATCTGCCCTTAAACGCCAGCTCAGTCTGTCTGCTCTCCAGCATCTGCACATCATGGTCACCCTGAAGTGACACAAATGCCTCAACAACTGTCCATATACTGTACTGGGATCATGAAGGAAAAGCTGGACAGAAGAGCCAAGCAAGTGTGAAGCCTGCTATTAGAGAACGTCGGTGGACTGCTCACACCATGCCACCGTTTCACATGTTTGTAGTAGTCCTGTATTGGGTGTGGTTATCCCTCAAGCTTGTCTCCTCCTAGAATGCCAAATAGAGAGCAGGGTGAACTCTTGAAGCTCCCAAGCTTTCAGTTCATGCCATTATTGATCTGGGTTTTCGTCCTTGAGGAGGTAGTCAGGATTATCAGGTCACACCTCACGCCTTCTGCCTCCTCTTTTATGGCAGAAGTGCCCTATGTCCTCTTCCTTTCTCTGGAAGTGCCCCTTTGTCCCATCCTCCTCTTTTGAGGTGGTGTTCTCCTTCCCCTTCCCAGAGGGAGAAGGTGGTAAGTAAGGGCTTTTGCTGTATAATCAGAACTTGGAGATTTTAAGAAAAGGCTAACCAGTAATTAAATTGAATTTCAAATCCATTTATCTGCGTGAACTTGTCTTTTGATGTGATGTATTATTTTTGATTGTAGCCTGTCAATTATTAAATATCTATGATGTTCAGGCGTATTGTTAAAGCCTTTTTATTTAGCCTTCCCAGCAACCCTGTGAGTTGGTATT